ATATCCCTAGTACCACGACCCCTTCTAAACCCAGCCTGGACTTCCGGCAGTTCTCTGCTGATGTGCTGTTCTAATCATTTTTGGATGATCTTCAGTAGAATCTTGCTTGCATGTGAAATCAAGGACACTGTTCTGTAGTTTCCACATGTTTCAGAAAATACATTATTGTTTTGGAAGAGATTCATGATACTATGTAAAACCAACATGGTTATGTACAGTGTAATTTGAATTTTGTATTTGGCTTATGAACAGTTTCACTCTTTGAGATGATGTGCGAAAAACACATACTTAAGTGCTAATATTGAGTCTTTTTTTTCATGAGTAAGGAGGGTGGTAGTGATTTTACTTATTTTAGCTAGTTGATACTTCCCAACATTTCTTCATGGAACGTACAAATGCACTGAATAGGGAGAAAAGTTATAATAAATTGAATACAATTTCCATCTAAAATACTTAGGTAGCTATGCATTTAATTGAAAATCCATTGTCCATTGTAACCAAAGTTATGTGTTACAGTAATACTCATTAATAGGAAATAGCAGTGATCACTCTCTCAAGAGTACACAGTTCTGTTAATAAGAAATGTGCTATGACGATGCATTGCCTTGGGAAATCCTACTGTTAGAGACCTTTCCAAAGGTCTGAAGAATGATGATGACAGCCTGGAGACTAAGGTATGCCTGATACAGGCCGTGATCTTTGAAATCACTTGCTATGTGTCAGAGAGTTGGACATGACTAGGTGTGATGTTGTTGTTCCTGTTGTTATGTGCCGTTGAGTCACTTGTGACTCATATCGACCCTATGTAAAACAGCTGTAAACCTTGCTCTATCCTGTGCCAATCGCACTGCCTCTGACACACCCATCCCGATTACCCCAGTCACTGAATCAATCCACCTCATAGAGGGTCTTCCCCTTCTGCGCTGTCCCTCCACCCTCCTAAGCATGATGTCCCTCTCCAAGGACCTGTCTCTCCTTACAACATATCCAAAGTATGTCAGACGAAGCCCCAGAATCCTTGCCTCCAAGAAGTAGCCAGGTTTAACCCTTTCCAGGATGAATCTGTTTGTTTTCTTAGCATTCCATGGTGCATTCAATACTCTTCTCCAGCACCACAGCTCAAACACATCAATTCTCCTTCTATCCTCCCTAGTCATTGTCCAACTCTCTGATGCATA